GACTTTCCGGCCTATTTGTTCCGCTGAAAAATGCATGACCGTCGCCGCGCCAGCGTAACGACCAGCTTAAATCAGCGAGCGCTGATTGGCAAATTTATGGCGAATAGGAAATTCAAGCGTTTTATTGGCCTCTGATTACGTATATATTTTTCGCTAATTGTTTCTCCACTCTTCTCAGACAACTTTCATGACGCCTTACATTTCCATTTAGTATCGTCGCCTACGATCAATTCGCACCGAGACCATTGCCAAATTAGTTCATTGAATATTTATATAATTCGCTTACTAATTGCCAATTTGACACCTCATGCTTTGGGGCTTTGGGCATTGTCTGTCATTTGTTTAATCCTAATGGGTTAATTCAATATTGTTCTCTGTAACGTAAAGCCTTCGGTTTACACGTTGAAAGCCTTTTAAATCTTTTCGAAAAATCATGAACTATTCACACAATTGAAAATTCGATTTGTCACTGAACCAGCTGCGAGCAGCCATGATACTAACAAACTTACCTTCGGCTTTTAATGTCGATTCTAAGACAACGTCAATCACAACGAGTTCACCCAAAAAGAAAACAATGAAAAACAGGTAGGTATCACCCTTTCTCATGAAAAATTCGTCTATCTCATCCGCGAGTAAAAGAAGAGTAAAGAAAGAGAAAAGAAAAGAAGGTTTTTCTCCAAGGGAGGTCAGAATTAAGTAGGGAAACCAGCCGGCAGCCGATAAAAGTGTAAAGGCGAAAGTCAACCGACCGGCTCTTGCTAATAATTCAGCGATTACAATATTTAAGGCCGTCGACGGCGACTGCTGGCTCTCGTATAGCGTCGAAAGCTTCATCCAAGATAGCAACACCCGGAAGTACACTTAATTGTGGCTGACTAGATATCAGAGAGCGATATCCCCTCTCTTTCCTTTCCATCGATCCGCACCAAAGAAACCCGATTTGCAGTGAAGCTGTACGTGTAAAAAGCGAAGGTGCATAATAGAATAAGAAACAATCAAAATGATGAAGGGAATCGAAAAACTGATGGCGACAGAGATATTTTGCAAATTGTTGCTTTACAGCGCCAAACGGTTTCCTTGTCCGTTCGATTTCACTGCGTGACTCGTGTTCATATAAATACGCACGCGGGCACGGAACAAATGATTAGTCACGGGTGCACGGACCCGTTCCTCGAGCTTTCGTCAAATATTTACGATGCGAGAATGTCTTATTCTTGACATTCACATGGAAAAGAAAATCTAATTCAGTTGCAGCTGCAGTTTGGCTTGTATATAAGACAACGAACGAATGACCAGTTGACGTAGCCAAGAGAAAGGAAGAATCGAGTAGTCGTTCGAGTGGTAAATAAAGACGGATGGTCTGGAGAATAAAGAAAGATAGGCTAATGGATAAGGACTGGAGGCCGTGATTCAAGCAGGAGGAGGTGAAATAGTGCAAGTGCGAGTAGATAGGCCACTTCGTCCATGAAAGGTCGCTGTGTATTCGGAGATTATTCTTTATATGAGCCGTCTCCTGCATATACCTATACGCACAGATTGTTTGCTTCCAAATTAGTTGGCGTATGTACATCACGATTATTCTGTGAAAAGCAGGCCATGGCCCTCGTAATGTCCATTACCAGGCAAACTAATGGAGTTGTTAAGTGTAATATATGTTGCAAATGCTTATCATCGAAAGAAAAATCAGAATTGATGGATTGAGAAAGAGGGGAAAGCGTGCAATCGAGTGGATAAGCAACGGAAGGAAATGAGGCGATCAGTACGAACGTTAAAATACTAATAGCTTTTGAGTGACTGATCGAAAGGATAATCGTATCGGCATTCGCGAAACGCACACTAATTGACGCGTTTAATCATCCATGCCCAGATCAAATGTTCAATACATTTATAATAGAGAGAAGCGACACGACACTGCGATTGAGCCGCGCGAGAAAAGAGGTCAATTTACATTGAGACAAAAAATTAATTTCATCAATCTCTGTTGCTATTCCAATCCGTTCGAGGGACGATCAATCAAAGGTGTAGATGCGCGATATCTGAAATCGGTAAAAAATCAATTAAGCAACTCTGAAGCACGAGAGGCACATCTTTGACGACTCAAGAGAGAGAGAAAGATAGAGGATAGCAATCGAGCGGACATAGCTTTCAAAGCTTGCAAACAGAGAGAGAAACACACGCACGAACAGAGCTGTTGGGGGGGGGGGCAGTAATTATTGACGGAGAGTGACCAGTGTATATTTATCGAAGCCTCGCAACTGATGTAAATTCCGTTGCGAGAGCGAACGAGCAGGTGAGCGTTGTGATTGCAAGCGCTGAATAATCCAAGCACTCAAGTGGCATTGATCAGGTGGGCCTCCACCATAGTATGTCGCGTGGCGCCGCTCGTTAAGCGACGCAAGCTATACTCTCACGAAAAGCAATTAGGTGCCCGCGTGAAAAGCCGGTATATAGTGTCTGTTGAAAGGAAAAATAAGAACCGTCTATTTTAATTGATTAAGGCCTTTTTTTATTTACTTTTTCAGCGAACCAATGCGGGGCACATACTGCGATTTTTTAATTTTTGGTTCATTTCGCAACTCGCCGCTATACTTCGTTTCGCTGAATACGTCGATTTTCTTTATTGTCACGCTTGATATAGTCGTTCGAAGTGACATTGATTTTTCTTTGCTTTGCTAGACTTGCTGATCGATTTGTGCCAATGTTGAACTTGTCGAAAGATAAAGCAGATCCTGCTTGAAGCGCAATATCGATTTTTTCAATTTATGCGAAGAAAAAAATAGAAATGAAGCTTTTTTCCACTGAATCAATCATTGTTTACTTTCTTTTAAAATAGCATTACAGTAAAATTTGGTGAATTTGGGAGTAATTTCTATTGAGTTTATTTCTTTCAAAGAAACTTTTTGTTAAAAGGCAATAGAAAGGTAAACTGAACAAGCGGTTACAGCTTCGTTTACTCATTCATCTAATATAATCGGAGACTCAACAGTAAATTGAATGCAAGTTGGATAATAGCAACTTGGAAAATGAAAAGAAAAAAGAGAAAAAAAGGATGAACACCAGTATTCGCATACGAATATACAACTTCTAAGACAATAAAGTTCCGCGTTCTCAGACTCGCTCGTTATTGCCACGAGTTACTGTACGAATTCATCTAAGATTCTCTGTCTCTCTTAGCTTGAAATCCGGACTTGTTAAAATAATTAATGTGCAACGGGCGTAAAGGTAGTTAAAACAACTGCGAAATGAATTTGCGATAGTGCGCGCGAGGCCATAAAAATTCTATCAATGCCAGCGCGCGCGCGAACAAACCCGACAGAGATAACAAAGGAGAACGTTCTTAGCTGCGGCAATTGCAAACAATGCACTTCATCAAAGTTTTACAGCGCTCTCGCGCACGTGAAGCTATATAATTCGACGACGCCACGCGGCCTATTTCTCGGGAGAGGAACCGTTTGCTAACGCGAGTGCTCGCGCGTCCATTGACGAAGTGGCGTGGAATTCGAAACGAAGTAAAGAGAGGCTGAAGCTTAATTCGATAATAAGTTATCGCTAATGGCAATCGAATTATAAAATTTTCCTCTCTTGCATAATTCGTGCAAGCAAAGCCTTCGGGGAATTTCAAAAGCTTGCAGCTTCAAAACTATCGTTCTCGATGGGACGTGCTAAATATTTTAGAAAAAACTCTCGCTCGACGAGTGACTTTTACTGTTATAACGCTTGTCACGATTCTTCAGCGATTGCTGCTTTAAAAGATTCATCAGACTTCATAATTACCGCCATAATATAAATACCTTTTAGCTTAATAGATAGTCATTAAGAAAAAAAGAAATATCCAGAACAAAAGGAGGCAAAAAGTCAATAAAGACTTCGAAATATTTTCGGCATGCGAAAAGCATGCATCATAGCGAAGAGTTAAGCAAAACGAGGCAGCGCCGAAATTACGAGTGTCGGCGGGTAGAGAATTGTCATGCACGTGTCCGTATATGAAAAGCCTATTTACCATTCCATCTAACGAGTTGCTGGGTGAGAGAGAGAGGGCGCGAAATTGAGAGAGAGAGAGAGAGAGATTCCTTTGTGCGCGTAGGAATAAAGGCATGTCATAACAATAATAGTGAAGTAACGCTTTTAACATTAACAACAAGTGCCGGCGCGAAAACTATGTGTATATACGAAGCAAGACAGCTCTCTATCTCTTGCTCTCTCTCTCTCTTTCTCTCTGTATCTCTCTCTCTCTCTCTCTCTCTTTCTCTTTCATGCATATTTGAGTGGTTTAAATTTTTCGGAAAGCTCGCAAGCTCAAAAGGCATATCGTCAGCGCCCTCAATAAACTACCTTCTTTTGCTTGCTTGCTTCGCGCGAGCGCTTGCATTATGCACGCAACATGCGCCAACTGGCTGAAAAACGAGCCACGATGCCGCAGCTGGAATTCAGATATCCCAACGCGATACATCGATGGCCTAGCCGCGTGACGACGACTGACTCTTCACCGATGGCGTTCTTCCATTACATTACAAGTCTCGTGCAGCATCGACTTACTTTTTTTGTGCTCTGCTTGCAATTTGATTTTCAGAGTGAAAAAATTTTTTTTATTTTTTTACGTGTGAGTCTCTGAAACTGAAAAATTTGATTTGTTTAAAAAAAATGTCTTAAATCGGGATTAGTCAGAAATTTTTGCCACTTGATAAATGGCTTCATCTAAAATTAATTGATTTCAGCCTGTTACATATTTAAATTTATATCATTAGTGACATAAAACTTAAAAAAATATATTTTATTTTTCTAAGCGATTGATAGTTGATGCCGTAATAATGCTGCGCAACAAAAAAATATCCACGCACAAAGCCACGGAGAGCCGACGACCCAATTTCCACGAGCTTGAACCGACCAAAAAAGGCGTGTAAGAAGCTGCTTTTTTGCGATGAAAATGGCTTTAAAGCTAGGATTACCCATCGACAAGTACAGCAATCTATCGGCAGCCTGTGTATAACAGCAGGACTCACCTCGCAATCGCCTCAGGGTCTTGCAAGCTCGTCGGTCATCGCGCAGCAGTTGCTGTCCCATCAAAGACGCCGTGTCTCGAGCAGCAGCGGCCTCCCTTGATAAGAGTGACGAAGGCTGCTATTGCTAATGCTACTACTACTACTCGTCGTCTCTGCCGACATCACACGCTCTGCGAGCAAGAGCAAGAATTATATAATGAATATTGAAAACACTTTTATGCACGTCACACCAAAAACTTCGCACGCGGTACCGCAATATAACCGCGAGCGTTTTATGTTTATTTTTGTTAGATATCATGATGCACACGTGGTGTTTGCTCGAGTTATGAGCTTACTACAACTACGGTAGCTGCTGAGGTTGTTTGGCGGCTAGATTAGTTTGCGATCTTAGAGAGTTTAGTCGTTACCAATTCGTTATTAAGTTTTGTTTTTCTTCCGAACCTCAAGTAGAGACTTCATTGACCTATATTTCTTTCTTTTTCATTTTGCCACCACGCATTCACTAAAAATTCTGCTGGGACTTCGGTAAAAACGTTTGTTGATCTAGTTATCGAAATATCGCTGAATAGGGGCTGCTCCATCAAAATATTTGCTACGCGAGGCGATTTTTTCGGATGTAACCTCGTCAGATATGAAGATACAGCTCTCTCTCTCTCTCTCTCTCTCTCTCTCTCTCTTTCTGTTACTACTTGGCTAATCACGTAATGCATAGTTTCTTCGAGAGTGCAGCCCATTCTCTGCTGAGACTAGAAGTTAAGAATTTTTTGTAGCAAGCTGCAATCAGCAAATAAGCATTTCTGAGAAATTTATTTGCAAGTTGGTTACGAGCGCGTACGTTGGCGAGAAAAAAGAAGTGAGTTTCGGAAAATTTAACTCTTGCAACAGTCTTAAGTGAGAGAACCACGATGAGTTATTAAAATAAATTTATTCCGAACGTCGAGAGATGTTTTAATTTACCGAGCTTGATATTTTGCCGAGCTTTAAAATTGACTCATAAATCTAGCGTGAGATATTCCAACAACGCGAGGCCGTTAGCACGTGATGAGAATATTTCACTGCGCAAACACATACACGTATCCCTCACCACAACCCTAACAGCAGTGGTAGTAGTTGTAGTAGTGTGCGGTACCGTATACGACACTTTTTATTTTTTAAATTCACTGCGTTTAGCCTACCTAAGCAGAGATAAAAAAAAGAAAATCACTTGTAGCTGAGAAAAACTGAAAAGAACAAACAAATAAGTAAAGACGAGGCAGTGACAGGAGCACGTGGTAAAATCGAGCTTTGGGGGTAGCGCGCGCCGTGGATGACGGTAAACGCGATACTACTACTGCTTGGAGAGCGAGTCGGCCGGCTCTCTCATATTCTACCAAGCTACCCCTCCCACTACTCCTCTACAAGGGTTGCGCGCGCCGGCCGGCTATTTTGTCCGCGTACTGGCTCACTGCGATCACCTACAATTTTTTTGGTACTTCCTTTTTTTTGGAACAACGAAGCTCTTCATTCTTGGTATTTCTTATGAGCTTAAACAGATTTTGCTCGGCCTTGTTTTATTTTAATGAAAATACTGGCGCATGGAAAAAGAAAAAAGTAGACACCCAGAAAAGGAAGTTGATGAATAATAGAAATTTTTAGGTAAAAAAGAAGACTGTAAAGTCGGATAAATGAAACGGTGTTTACTTTTTGTGAGAAAAAAATAGGAATGATTCTGCATATTTTACCGTAGTATCGCACTATGCTGAAAGACAAAAATTTACGCATTGAAAGGGGTTTCTACAAACAACATTGATAAATAAATTTATAATTTATGTTTTACAAGAAAGTGAACAATCATGAACCGCGAAAAGGATATACGACAAATCGATAAAATAGCGCTTCAAAATGCGCGAGACGAAATATTGAAAATGCCGCGTATTTTTCAGGCGCGCTCAATCGATCCTCCCATATGTGTCATCGAAAAAGCAAACGTGTAGAGTTCTTATATATCCTTGCGCGGATATGTATGTCTAGTATTTGTCACAACGTACTTTTTATATTGATCCACAGGCAATATGATGCGTTTCTTCAGAATAAATATTTACATATTTTTATGTGGTTGAAAACCAAACGAGAGACAAGAAGACACTGAAACTTTTATCGTTTGATTTATTCTCGATGTATACGTAGTGCTTGTGTACTTTTTTAAGGCTTACGCATAAAAGTTGTTCTTACGCATATATTAATCAATCTTTTATATATGAAATGAGTTCTCTTTTTTGTTCTCTTTCTACTACATATAGCTTTATGTGGCACGCACGTATGTTTCATATTATTACGGAAAAAGTTCATCTATAATTTTTTTTTTTTTCTGAGGCATGCTTTTGTAATAATAATATTAGAGTCTAGTGTTTTAACTTGTTTGTTCTTTTACAGAACAAAAATAAAGAATGCACTGAGGATTGAAGGATTAATTAAGAGTAACGTGGATCTTTATTTTCGGACAGTTCCATGCATTTATCAAATGAAAAATAATACAAGTCTGCTAGAAAATATCAATCTTTCTATCGATGAATTATAGACGAACTTTAGCTTCTATTTTCTAGCTTCTATTTTTTAGTTTTTTTAAAGCTTTTAGTATAACGGTTTCGAGATACATAAATATCGATTACTAGTAAAGCAAACTACAGTGGAAAACAACTCGTAGAATATATTATTTTTAATGATGCGTATAAAGACTGATACGAAAATAAGAAAAAATGTTTAGCACCTTAAACTGGAAGCAATCGATATACATAACAAAAAGGCAATGCTTAAAATATACATTTTTATATTTATTTTTTTAAAGTAATCTATTCAATCTATTCAAACTGTAAATGTTTGATATGTCGGACTAAACTAACTCTACTCTACTGAATATTTGCAGATTGACATTTTTAATTTATCAACAATTTAGCTGATCATTCATGATGCATACAGTAGATCAAATCTGTGACTGGTGAAACAAAGTATACTTTGAAACTCTTAGTTTCAAATAATTCTTCAACGGAAATGAATGAATCAAAGTCCGTAACAAATTCTCCTAGTATGCTAATATAATCCAGCTACCGTACAATTAATAAACTGCTGTATAATAAATTTAGGAGAAAAGGAAAGACAATTTACTGACCGAAAAAATTAGTCGAGAAACCTGTGAACGAGGGAAGGAAAACGACTATTCGGGTGAAATAATAAGGAAATAAATATTCACAATGACAAACGGAAATAAAACTAATGGAAATTTAATGAATAAAGAGCATTCTCTCTCTCTCTCTCTCTCTCTCTCTCTCTCTCTCTCTCTCTGCTGATGGGCAAGTAGTAGAAGAGAAGCGTATAATTGGACGTCAGAGTGGGCGGCATTGTTTATAAATTTCATTGTTCGCATAGAGCTTCCACAGCTGCATTGTGCGGTGAGAAAATGCGTAAAGACGAAAAAGCTCGTAGGAGGGTTGAAAAAGAAGGGAGAGAAAAAAAACAAACAAGAGAATTCCTTTTTCTGCCTGCCGACCGACGTTTGCGCTCTCTCTCTCTCTCTCTCTCTCTCTCTCTCTCTCTCTCTCTCTCTCTCTCTTGCGACCTTGGTATGTTTTTTCCTTCTTTTGCTGCCCGCGCGCAACATCCAATTAACGATGACGAAAGCTTCTCTTTTTTCTTCTTTTCTAGCTTACCTTGTCATTAGGCCTTTTTCTCGGGCGAGGCTTTCTTTCCCTTTTTTTTGCCCTCGTCGATCTTTTTGTATCTACCGAGCGTTGTTTTTCCCTGCGCGAAATTTCCAACGACGAGACCAGCAGCTCACTTTCCAGGTAGAAACCAAAATAAAAAAAAACCGAAGAAGGACGACGGCAAGTTAAAAATGTATGTGCTAGTTCGCCGCATGAGCGAGAAGTTATGAAATGCGGTGCCGTACGTAGGAAAGAAGAGTCGTTTTACGTAATTATTTTAAAGTAGATTGTTCGGACTGCTCACTAGATGACAAATAAAACTTTGTGTGTATAGCGTGCGTACATTAATCATACCACGGATTCATTGTCTTACCCGTTAATTCGCTCAACAATGAAGCTGATGTTTGTTTTTCGATGTTTCACGAGCATAACTATTTCATTGCAAAAATCTCGTAAAGACGTAACCCAAACAAACGCGGCTGCGATATTTGGGAAAGTTTTTCTTCTTGAGTAATACTATATAGAACACTTGAATTTGGAAATGCGGCACCACCGCTGAATGAAAGACAAGCCAGTACAATAAAGAATTTACTTCCCAGCAAAGTTTCTCTTCCGCACAGAAGCAGTCGTGAGTTTTCTACGGTTTATACATTTCATAAATAACTTTGTTTGCCAAATATAAAGATAAATTGCAAGCACTCGAGTCGAGTCAGTTGCTTATCACACTTGCTAAATATTCCATAAAGAGCGAATGATAAATACTTAATAAGCATAACTGTAACGAGGGCGCAACGACGAAGTAGCCTCTGGATCCGCAGCGAGCGGCAAATCCAAAGAACAAAGTTCGCAGCGAATCACGCCTCTGCGCACGTCACGGTGAAATAAGTCGGGGAAGGGAGGCGAGAAAAACGAGCGAAGGAGGAAACGCAGGAGAGGGCGAGAGAGGCGAGAAAGGAACCTTGATCTCTTTTTTTAGCGTAAAAATCTATTATTCCGCTAACAATAAATTACCTCTCGTTCTCTCTCCCTCGGACCTGGATTTCCGCGCCGGAAATAAAGTCATCGCTAAGGTAAACGGCGCTAATGCCCCCATGAAGGTAGAAGAAGAAGAAGAAGAAGGGAAGAAGGCCTCCCCTCCGACCACGGAAGAGAGCTCGTAATTGAGAGAGAAGAGCAAAGGCGCTGACGTGACGTTTCTTCACGAGCACACGACCAGTCGAATCCAATCGCAGAGGATACGTGATAAATACAAGCTCGACATCGCGTCGTTGCAGTAGCAGATGTACTTGATTTTTCGGCCGAACGACACATAGAGAAGCTTTACGGATAAGAGCAAATCGGTGCATTGTATCGGAACGCTTTTTTCTTTTCTTTGTTCTCGAGTCTGATGCCACGCCAGAGGTCTCTCGAGTACAAAGCGCTCGCGGCACACACTCACGAGGATTTTTCTCC